TATTATTGTTATTATTGTTATTATTATTATTATTATTATTATTAATATTATTATTATTATTATTATTATCATTATCAGGATACAAATTATTGATTATTGTACTAAATTTTACTCGTCGTTTCTCTACCTACACTTTATCTCAGTTATTAGCACCGTTACGTAGCTAAAGTAGGAAGTGAAAAATTAGTATAAAATATCAGTTAATTAATTTCGATAGTATAGCCAAAGAATTTATTTTAATATCTGCTCTTAAGCAAGAGCCCGTTATCCCTCATATTATAAATGAAGATCAAGTTTGAGTTCAGAGCTGATGATTTATCTAAAAACTATACTTAGCTAGATTTCTTAGTAGTCCATGAGTATCTTAAGTGGGTAACTCGATTCAGGACCATACATTTATTGTCTCTACTTACACCCCATTTTTCCAGTATTGTTTATTATCCATCACCTTCCTAATGTCAAGAAACTTGGCTTTGGTCAACTTACGGCTTTAAAGACTGCAGTAAAATTTAGACAGATCTGTTATTTTGTGAGAATGTACATACTCTACAATGATAAGTAACTAAAATATCAGTCTTGGTAACAGCAGTGACGCCATTAAGTTCAATAGCATAGCTGTATATTTATCCCTATTATTTTTCTTTATTTCTACATGACATTTCTTTCTTTATTATTAAAAATCTCATCAGGCCTTCCATAATAAATCTGCAGTAAACTTATCATAAGTTGTAATACTAATTTGAACGTCAGTGATCGTGTGCAGTTACTTTACGACAATTATTTTATATGTAAAAATTGTCAAGATCAACTTTGAAAAATGTTCATTTCTCGCGTTTTCAGAGTGTCTGAAAATAGGGGAATAAAAAGAAAGTAGGAAAAACTAAGAAACTAATGTTACTTAAAATAATTAAGAAAAAGCAATAAAATTTATCAAGTTTACAAAAAGTTTTTGAATTGTATGCAATGGCATAGAAGATAAAAATAGAAAAGATTCAGTTGTTGTACGGAAAAGAAAACGTTAGTAGTCGATTGATTTGGTGTTGATAGAAACCCGTCATAAAATAAACGTTAACTAGCAAACTACAAACTGTATATAAGTTCTAGTTGAGTTTTATTCAACTAAACTTTATTACACCTGTTGTGGTATACTTAACCTTCTGTACACTGAAATATGTGGAGTGTTCTCAATCGTACGGTACTACCGAAACAGTTGCAATGAGAAACTAACAATGTCATCTTGTGGCTATTGCATGACAGTCCTGCTGTTTTGGCAGTATCCTACCACTAAGCTCTGCTAATTTAACAATCTGGCTTAAACTTAGCTGCAGCGTAATAGTAACCATCTTCCGGTAAAGTTAGACTATTCACCTATACTCTGCGTTGCTAGCGTGTTTAAAGTCTTGATAGCTGCTTTTAGATGTTTTGTTGTCGTGTTAGATTTTTTATTGCCCTGTAGTGGTAACATAATTTGTAATAACCAATATTGTGGAATTATTCAAGAAATGTTACTTAAAATGTTTGACTTTTTAAATTCGAAAAATAACACTATAATGCAAATACGTTAAATAAATTACAAATTAACTTCTTAAATGTATCTCATTGTTTACACCACGAAAATAGTTTGGTTGTACATTATATTATCTAAAAAATAATGTGAAGAAAATGATGCCTATTTTTAACTTTCTTATGTTACTAGAGTAACTAACTAAGCTTACCTGTACGTTCAAACTACGTGTTGTCCACGTACGATAGTTGAGCTATTATCTTACAACTTGATTAACTAATAAAACACCTTAAGCAATAATATAAATTATTTATTTAGCGAGTACAAGTCCCTAGTTTTTATTGTCGTGCAGTTAAAATGTTCCTACCTGTTAATGCATATTTAATAGTTAACCAAATCATGATGGAACTTTTGATTAAGGCTTTTTTTAATTTTTTAATTATTGAAATATGATTTAAGCTTTTTAAACAAAATAACCATCAAAATTTATATCAGTATTAAGGTTTGTTAAAGTTACGTTAAGCAAGTTCACGAGTTACGATGTATACCAAATAGTAACTGGAGCCTATAAGCACAAGAATAAATACTTTTTGTGGTTTAAAAGTAGTGTGCGTTGGGATAGAGCAAGGTGCCCCAACTGACCTTATTTAATCGACGATTGTTCAATTTTTGGATTAGACCATTAATTCAACCATCTAAGTAAGGACATTCAGCGTCCAAATAATGATAAGGGTACTAATGTTGTAAGTAAAGAAATTAGACGATCAAAAGATAAGAAAAGTTAATTATCATAAATATTTTGTATTGACTACACAATAGCTTTCAACTATAAACGTAGGTCCACTTTGATTATTGTTACATTAAGTCTCAATATTTGGAAGTTCAAACCTTAGGTATGACACAGAAAACGAAAAATTTATTTAAAATAACTCACAATACAAGTTGTGAGTTTCTGCAGAAAATTTCGTTAGTTTTAAGTTGCTCGTAGCATTAAAATAACACTTTTAATGAAAAGCAAGGCCGAGAACAATGTTCACTCGGTAACTTGATTAGTTACGCTTACTTCTGATCATGATAGGTAGTACTGCGTATCCCTAAGTACATCTGAGCTTTCTAGGACTGAGACGTAATCGATATCACGTATACGAGTGGTTAAATAAAGTATTAGTAAACGATGGACTTATAGCAAATCTTAAGAATGGCACTCCTACTAAGAACTCAACTATTATCTAAACACTTATGTTTTTCATAGGTTTTGTTAATAATGTACCCTTCATTTTCTTATCGCAATGACTTATGGGCATGTATGTATACACCCTGTTTGGATAATAAAACACGAACTATGAAATTCACTTACCAATGGTACTACAGCAAATAAATTGAAAGATGCTATTTTCTTGATAAATTAACTCCCAATCAATAATTTTTGTACACTGACATAGAGTCACAACAAAATTTTCTATCAAAATGCACTGCAAGTAGAACTCATGAACGAATTACATATACTCATTAATCGAGAACTTAGTTTAATGTAGAACATACGTTTACTCCACCTAACGCTATCTTTGTAGTTAAATAGTACTCCAATATTCAAAACTTGATT